GTCTACCCGGACTAACACACATATACAATATTTATCTGTTTTTAATTTCTAGCATCATTAGATTTTTGAGGTCACTACACTTAGCACTTATGAGTACTTTATTTCTTGCCATTGTATTCATAATTCACAATTGCTTTATCCATTCACCAGTCTAACCACATGTGAACGAACCAGACCCACTGCCATGGAGTCCATTTTAAATCATAGTAACCATAGCAACAAAACTAAAATGAAATCCATTGCTGTCAAGGTGATTGTGATTCATACGGGGCAGAGTTGAGTTTCTAAGGCTGTATGTAATCTTCACAGAAACACACTGCCACTTCTTTCTCCCAGGGAGTGGCTGGTGGGCTCAAACCACTGAACTTTTTGATCAGTCTCTGATGGTCCCAGATGTGTTGCAAATTCTCATGGGAATGCCAGATATGGATTTTTACTGACAGAATGAACAGTTGATTAATTGTCATGATGAAAGTTATAAGTGAGCACTCAGTCAGAAGGATTCATAAAAGGCAGATAAGATGAAATATTTTATAGAAAGATCACACTTGAATAAACAGTCTAAGAACCTGGTGATGCTGTTGGGTAAACACTGGACTGCTAACTGCAAGATGGGTAGTTCAAACCCACCAGATGATCCATGGAAGAAAGATGAAGCTGCCTTCTTTTGTAAAGATTTGCAGTGTTGGAAACCCTATATAGGGTTGCTAGACATCTGAACTGACTCAATTGCAGAGTGTTTGGTTTATTGGTTTGAGAATTCCAGGGAGTCCCAGTCTTTCCTTGCAGATGCCATTTCCAGGGAATCCCAGTCTTTCCTTGAGGATGCCATGCAAGGCTTTATCCCCCAATAGTTCTGATTTTATGACTGATCAGGAGGACTTGGGGTTGCCAGCTAACAACACAGTCTAAGACAGTATCAGAATCCTGACTCTAGCACTGTTAGCTCTGTTTCTGAACTTTCTAATGCAAGGTGGTAGGCATGCTGAACTCTCCAACATGGTTGCTACCAGCCCTGGTGGCATATTAGTTACTCATTGGACTGACAACCACAGGGTCAACAGTTTGAAACCACTAGCTGCTCCATGAGAAAAAGATGATCCTTTCTATCTGCATAACCAATTGCAGTCTTGGAAATCTACAGGGGTAGTTCTACCTTGTTCTCTAGGGTAGCCATGAGGCAGAATTGACTTGATGGCAGTGATTCTGGGTTTTTTTTGTGGGGGGGGTTTGGAGTCACATGTGGCTATTGAACATTCTAATGTGGTAAATCCAAACTGTGAAAAATATGCATTGAATTTTGAAAGCAGTGTATATTAGACAGGGTTCTCTAGAGAAACAAAACCAGGACACTAATAAATTTATATATGTTTATACAGATAGATAGATAGATAGATAGATAGATAGATAGATAGATAGATAATATAAAAAATAAACAGTTAATTAAATTATAAAGCAGTACAGATGGCTCAGTGCATTTGTTGTGAGACAATGGCAGTCCTTCAAGTCCTGAGGACCACCGGGTCGTGCTCTGAAGAGCAATTCAGGCTATCCGGCCACAGGCAGCAAACCGCAAGCAGGTCACCAATAGTCAGCCAGATGACAGGGTCCAACAGTCCCCAGCTCAAGCGATGATGTATACTCCAGTAGCGTGGCAAAGCAGGTCTTGAAGGAACCTCAAACTACAGCAACAAAGTCCACGGGTTAGGTTTCCCACAAGTAGGGTAGCTTGAAAATTGAGGCAGAGAACAAGCTAAGGCAGCCACACACTGATCCTATCATCAAAGAGCAAGAGACAAGAATGGCAAGGTTTGTGGAGCCATTTAGCTCTCTGCCCTTCAATTAATCCCACGTGTGTCATTGGCTATGTTGGCACAATAAACCTATCACATAGTGAAAAAAAAAAAGTGGGAGGTGGGGGAGTGTAAAACATATCAATAGCCTTTTATCTTGATTGCATGTTTAAAGGATAATATTTGGATAAAACATACTATTAATATCAACCTCATGTTTGTTTTTTGTTTGGAATGTGACTCCTAAAATTTTTAAATTACATATGTGGCTCCCACTCTATTTTCAGCAGGACAGTGCTGACCTATGACAGAAAGCTGACTTCATCAAATTAACATAACAGGCAAACTCCTTGTAAATCAAAACTCACCTCTTCTAAATCACTTCTGACTCAGCAGCTCCATGGGGCAGAGCAGAACTAGCCCCTTGGGTTTCCAAGGCTGTAAATCTTTATGGGAGGTGAAAGAGCTATTCAATGGTAATAAGTTTATCATTGTGAATTGATCCTAATACATACAAGTCAATATAAAAGAGGGCTTCAAAAAGTTCATGGGATACTGGAATTAAAAGATAATGGAATTTTCCCACAAACTCTTTGAAGTCCCTAGTATTTATTTACTGCATTTCAGAAAAAGGGACAAAATTTGTTCTGATGTGAAGGTAAGTCAAAAGTATTGTTACCAAATCACAAAAATGTTTTGATTGTTCATTTTATCGTGCCTTTGGCACATTAACAAGACGAAGTGTATTATTGAGAAAACTTCTCTGTAGTCATTCATTGATCAGAGACAGTTTAAAAACGTTCTTTTTGGAATAAACTCGTGGATTATGAACTGGAACCCTAGGAGTAATACTTTCTTACGTATCCTCACACTGGCTTTCATTTTCATTGTGGAGCCCTTAAAAGGATCCCTGGGGGCCTGGTGGACTAAGCACTTGTCTGCTGACCCTCAAGTTGGTGGTTCAAGTCCATGTGCACCATGGTCCTGCAATGAGGCTATCTGCTCCCAGAAATACGTAGTCTCAGAAATGTCATATTGAATACATGGCCGTGGGTAAATTTTTAAGCTACAGCCACCCCCTAAAAAAGAACCTTAGAGTGGCATATGGCCAGTTGTAGCATTGAGGTAGTAGATTACAACACTACAATCATGAAAATAACATAGTGAGTTATATGTCACATATTGTTTTAAAGCCATTACATATAATTATCTAATTCTTATCCGGTGAAGTAAGTACTATTAATGTTCATACGTAATATTATTATTCCCAATTTTGCTGAATAAGCGCAACTTTGAGGCTTTCCGTTTCAAAGGTTTAGTGGGGATTGCAGCTGTAGTTTCGCAGGACACCGACGCAAGCAGCGCAGGCCAGCGGGGGCGCGGGGAGTGAACAACGTCCTTCGCCTAAAAGTCCTCCCAAATCTCTTACTCCTTTTCGCCAGCGACCCCATTTGCTAGAGGCGAACGGCGGCCATTTTTCATTCGGGCGGAACTACAAATTTAAACTGCGTGTGCACAAGCTTAAAAAGTAAAACCAACACAAAATCCCACCGCCAACTCGGACATCCGGAGGGACATCTTTCGGTGCACGAAGTTAGCTGCTGGCAATCGTGAGAGAAAACTCGAGCTCTCCGACTCGGCGTCAGTGCCCATCCTCAAGATGGCGCCCGCCTGCGCATCACCTGTGCGGCCGCTCTATCTCGCTTCCGGGTTTGTTCGCCGTGCGATAGCGTCAGCCAGGCGAAGGGTGGCGTTCTGCCTCACTTCCGGACCCGTCTCTATGGTGTCGGAGGACTCAGACTCCGGAAGACTGTAGGTGTAGTGGCTGCTGCCTCACGGGGGAGGCAGGGAGCTTGGTGTCAACAGGGGCGAATAGGGGACCGGAGCCACTACCCTCTGCCGCCTTCCCCCAGCCGCCGTCCCGCAGGTA